TGGGTATAACTAATTTTCAAACAACTTCGATAGCAACGTTAGTATCAATAACATGAACAGCGCTGGCAACGTTAGAGATGACTATGGAGGGCTGAATCATCAATACGCCTACAAGGAGCACAGTCTAAACCCACACGACAGCCTCTACGATAACATCGTCGTCACACATGACGAGGACGGAACATTGATCACGTTAGTGGCATACTAGCGCACGTGCGGAGTGTTGAGACTTATTTGTAGTGACTACACCTGTCTGGCTTGTGTGTACGTATCTGCTGTGTAGATATAATGTGCACATGATCATCTATAAGCAGAAGCGCGTAGTTCAATATTCGCAGTCGCGTTCGATACGAGGGTGAAGGCGAGGGGCAAGAGGGTAGGTTGGTGTATATGTAATAACTATTACAGCAGCCGTGATGCATATACATGTATCTGAGCCACATTACTTCCGTACTATACTGTATGGGCACAGTCCATGTCCCAGTTTTGCCTGTATGCGTTGATTAGCTCTGATCCACTGCAAGAAGAATAGGCTGTCTCTGAGCTCGATCAAGTGTATGTGTTCATTTAAACTCAAACGTCAGATCCTATTCACAGATACAGTAGTTAGTGAGTCTCCGAATCTGCGTGTCGCGTATGCGTATCACTGCACGAATGAGTACTTACAACACCGGCTTGTATATATAGGCAGCATCGCTGAAATCTACTATATCTTGTTCCTTGTATACCCGTGAAGGTGATACACTGTACATTCTTGTAGGATGCCAGTTTGAGCCTGGTATATCCTGTGTTTTTCTCGATACGCTTTAGCATGAATGACACATGCGTTCTTGCGCATAGCCCGTTCAGATTTATTGGATATGTTTTTGCAGCGTTACCGAAGATTCGAGCGAGGACGACGATGGCGCAGTTGAGGACGACGAGAATACCATAGGTTTAGGCAACAACAGATCAGTGCGCAGAGGCAAACTGATCGGAAGTGGTGCATTCGGGAAAGTGCACAGGGTCTGGGCCCCACCAGTGGATCGCATTTAGTGGTAAAGCAAGTATGCCTTTACTATCCATCCCCGGATGGTAAGACCCGTGACATTGACGTGCAATGCATATGCCGTACATACCAGACATTTGTATGTACACTCTCAACGAGATTTCTTGTATACACTCCCTCTGTACCTGTAAGTGTGTGTATTTTTTTTGCTGCTTGCCACCTATGCTCTGTAGGCTCTCGGATCGTCCTCATTGATGAATCAGGTGAGTGTATATGTTTCATTGATTAATCAGGTGAATGTTTTTGTGTATTTTGAACATCAAAAAATCGCATGATTATAGCTGCACATGTGCCTCCTTTCATATTTACCCGTTTGCGTGTATTGTTGGCAGTGTTGCTGCTCTTGGGTGCACCTGTGTATTATTTCACATCTACCCGTGGTGTGTCTTTTTGACAGTGTTGCTACTCATGGGCGCATCTATATATCATGATACTTATGATGCCTCTGGGAGCATCTCAACGCAAAACAGGTTCTACATTGCAATGCAATGTGTCTTGCCAAACAAATTTCACACAGTCTAGGGGCAACAGTAGTGCATTCAACCCGCATAAAGCGCGCTCATAGGTGTCTGTGAAGAGAACCACAGCACAGCGTGCTTTGGGTTTCGAGGTGACTGGGGCAAAAATAAAATAGAAAACATTCACTATACAGAATTCATTTATTTGTTATGAACAAGCTATTATGTGTTCTTAAAGGAACACGCCCCGCACATATAGACTCTTAGAATTCTAACTACTAGTATTAAGCTATAATTGCATGGAGATAACTTCGTGGTGCTCTATCCCTAAATACGTGCTAGGTCCAGTCATAGCCTTTGCCGCCAACTTTTGCCCATGTCGTGGGTAAATATTTGGAAGGGTTACCTAAAAAATACAAGAGATAGGAGGCAGATAACAGTTACTAGAATAAATAATAAAAATCCTACAGGGATGTTACGTCAATCTCTGATCCCCTCTTGTTAAAAAATTATTCCAACATACAACTACAATAGTCAAATCTGTTCACCCTATGTACCCATTAGTAATATCAGAAATAGATATTTCGACCGACGCTCTCAATACATGTGCGCAATGACACTGATAGAAGTATAGGGAAATCGCTGTGGGATCTTAATTCGTGTTTCAGGTTTGTTTACTGACCTATATACTCCTCCTATGAGCCGTCTTAAGAATGTAAGTCTCGAGTGACTAAGCTCGTTGGTTGTAGCCAACATCCTGCATTCCTAAAGAGGTGGCCCCGTATTCAGTCGTAGATCTTAGGGATCTACATTCCGAGGGATCGTAGATACGAGGGAACTTCCGTACTTCTCCAGGGTGAATGACACCAACACTCAGGGAGGTTGTGTAGCACGTGCTTCTGCCCTCTACCATGGATCATACATTCTTTCGGGATTGTATATATCTCTCTCTTTCGAGAGAGGGACACTCCCCTCGAAATATAAGGTCCCTTGGGATGTTGGTCCCCTTGGGTCTACGATTTCACCTTCACTCTCTCTAATGTTCTGGAGGTCAAGCTATATCTGCAAAACATGGTTGTCCCATATAGAAATATAATTTATATAGTCCACGGCTATCTGTTGGAAGCTATATATAGGACTTAATTTGAATATAAGCTCCCCTTGGTCTATTTTCGACCGTTGACCTCTGATCGTGAGCTTCCTCTTGTAAACAAGGTGGTACACAGAGCTTAACTTCAAATGCTGGGGAAGTAGCTTATAAACTTTCATATAAAGCAGTCTCTAGAAAAGAGAGACATTGGTGACGCCTCATCTGAGATTTCATCAATAATATTTTACTGCCTCGCATAAGAATTCAGTGATTAGATAGACCATTTACATCTAAAAACACTCTTGCTCTAGCCCACGAAGTGGGGTGTATAGGACACCTGCTTATTACTGTACTCTTGTTTTGCTTCACTCCGCTACTCATTCTAGACTCCTAGTCTAACAGTTGTCCGCTCGTCAACTCACTACGCATTCTTTTTTGAACACTATACCCACTCTCTTCTCATGTCATTTTTTATCTTCGATCGGAAGGAATGAATACCATTTCTCAATCTCTACCTATCAGGCAGAGACGATGTCACTCTATCGAAGGTGCCTCTCGTCATAAGGGGTTGCGCTCGTGGGTCAGCTACCCCTTAAGGACAGGTGCAGGTGTAGCTACACTCAGGGGGAATATCGTTACAATAGGAAAAACAGTATCAGATTATCAGTTGTAAACCTTATTCTTCATTTCATGTTCTACTAAGCCAACTATAGAAGCACTCTGTGTAATAATAAAAATGTTTAGCCATAAAGGATACCTGTATCATATATGCCCCCTGGGACATGTTGCCTGTACGCAGTATGCTGAAAAATGCAGGCAGACGGTTTGGATATAAGAAGATATGCTAATATATTGGGGGTGTAAATTTTGCACTACTTGTAAAAACAGATAGTGGTGAGCCCTGTCTCTCCGGTGTTAGGAATGTAGGTAAGGATTAAATAACTTACTGCGTAGAAGTTCATCTAACGATGCTTGTCTGTATCCATGCCTTTAGGACACCCTAACAAGAGTGATCATATAGCCTATACTTTTTACACAAGAGTGGGGCTATCCTCTGTCACTCAAAAGTGGCTACTCCTGTCGCCACAGGAGCCCTATGAATAGGAAGCACGGGGTAAATACCTTTGGAAATTGGAAGGTGTCAACAGAAGACAGTATTATTAAAACACGGTGGTTCTAATATATCCTTGCTTATAGAATGTAGACCTGAAATACTAAATTAATTAAATCATATTCTATTAAGTAGAGTAAGGTAATAAACCCACGTTTCTTTGCGGGGATACAGATACTCCTCAGGGGTAATAGATATACAACAAGGCGAGTAGTGTCTCTATGGAAAGATAAGTGGGCTATGTAGAAGTACCATAGTATGATTAAAAAGGTTCAGATAAGAAGTTATTTCTGAGTATGTATAATGAAGGGAATGCTAGTAGGTTTGAATGAAGAGTGAATAATTTTAATTTTATTGGAAAGTTGTGTTTAGATACTATGGTTATATGGGTATATTCTATTCAATGTAGCCCCTTCAGATGTAAGTGATATGCTTACTTAAAGTTATAGGTACCTTGTCCTAAGATTAGTAAGAATGAGGAAGGTATTGAGATATACGATATTGTAGGTATGTAAGATTACGGGATCTATAATGAAGGGCAGGACTCCTCCTACACGCACACACCCTCCTTGAGTGTCATTCACCCCGCACTATCTCTACCTTGGGGTGTAATACAGGTTCAATATGTGGGCTTGTGTTTATGTATTAGGGTTTATGTCAAAAGGTAGTGGTGATAGAGATGGCAAGGTCTTTCATCCTATTCAATGAATTAGTACTATCTTATTGTCTTAACATCGATTATTATCCTATCTCTACCTTAGTACTTAATCACTCTCATTTCAGAAGGTTACACGCATCAGTTAGAATAGTCAATCCTAAATTAGAGTGGAGATGGGTATCAATGAATAGAGAAGGTAGCAGTACGTCAAAATTAGTAGTTCGGCTAGGGAATATTCATGATAGGTGAATGACACTATAATACTGATCCTCTGAGAAGATATGCCAATCGGTATCAAAAAGATTATGAGATACAAAAGACCACCGAGATTTATTTTGTTGCTGACCACAGGAAGATTGTGGCGGAGATCACCACATTGCTCTATACTACAGCTTTAAATAGGAGATTTGATCTACAATCTTATCCATCACGCCCTAATATCGGCTTCACCTGTAGTCTATAGATATAGTGGTCTGGTGGACACTCTAATTTATGAGATCTTTTCTACCAAGGCGGTGCCTTGAAATTTTAAACTCTTCCCACCATTTGAGTATTAGAATGAGTGCCCTATCTGATATTCTTTAAGCGGTGTAAATTATCTTACATGATGTAGATTTAATTCTATTGTTTGGTGAGTTTTTAGCAATCTTGTCTTAATCAACATAATCACACCGGTGTAGATATTTTTTTAGCTAGCTAGCTAAAGCTAGCCAATAATAGTCTACTACATTGCACTCTAACAAAGAGGAGAATTAGCATGGGGGGGGGGGGGGGGGTTTAGTCCCTCAGATCTGCTAAGGCTACGGGTTTACTTCCCATGTGCCATGTGTGCATATACTGCTGTTGGAACCGAAGGTTGAATCAACCTTCGTCCACGTCCCTGGGTCTACGATTTCC